CCTTTATTGGATGCGGGGGGAAACCTAGTGTCAAAAGATGAGGAAAAGGTGCAGGTGCTTAATGCCTTCTTTGTCTCAGTCTTTAGCAGCAAAACCAGTTGCTGTCCAGATACCCAGTACCCTGAGCTGGTGGAAGGGGATGGGGAGCAGAATGTGGCCTCACTATCTATGAGAAAATGGTTGGCAACCTGCTACAGCACTTGGATGCGCGCAAGTCGATGGGGCCAGATGGGATCCACCCGAGGACACTGAGAGAAATGGCGGAGGAGCTGTCCAAGCTGCTTTCTATCATTTATCAACAGTCCTGGCTATCGGGGGAGGTCCCAGTTGACTGGCGGCTAGCAAACGTGACGCCCATCTACAAGAAGGGCCGGAGGGCAGACCCGGGGAACTACAGGCCTGTCAGTTTGACCTCAGTGCCAGGGAAGCTCATGGAGCAGATTATCTTGAGTGTCATCACGTGGCACTTGCAGGGCAACTAGGTGATCAGGCCCAGTCAGCATGGGTTTATGAAAGGCAGGTCCTGCTTGACGAACCTGATCTCCTTCTGTGACAAAGTGACTGTGGTGGTTTTACCGTACTCGGCAGCTAAACCCCACAACCGCTCTCTCACTCCCCCTCCTTTAGATGAGGAGGGGGAGAAGTAAAGCAAAGAACAACTCACGGGTTGAGATAAGGATAATTTAATTAAAGGGAAATAATTATAATAATTAAATAAAGACTACCATGAACTAAACAATTTAACTAAGGGGAAATAAAAAGGGAAAGGGGAAAAGGGAGGGGAAAAGGAAAAATAAAAAGAAGGGAGGAAAACAAACAAACAAAATAAATGAAGGCTATATGGAAGCGTAGAGGAAAGAAATTACTCTCTACTTCCCACAAATGAGCGATGATTGACCACGTCCTTGAAGCAAGGCCTCAACGCACGCAGCCGGTGTTCGAGAGGAGGACCGACGTCTTCCAAACGAGAGCCCACCCCTCCCCTCTTCTTCCTGTTTCCACCTTTTATTGCTGAGTGTGACATCACATGGTATGGAATATCCCTTTGATTGGTTTAGGTCAGCTGCCCTAGTGATGTTTCTCTCCTCACCTTTTGCCCACCCCCTAGGAGGGTTAGAGAAAAGCCCAATGCTGTGCCACTGCTGCTCAGCAGTAGACACAACACTGGTGTGATAACACCACTGTTCCAGCTACAAGTACAGAGTATGGCACTGTATGGTCTGCTGCCGGGAAAGTTAACATTCCAGCCAGACCCAGTACAGTGACACGCTTGGTGGACGAGGGAAAGGTTTTGAATGTGGTCTACCTTGACTTCAGCAAGGCTTTGACACCGTTTCCCACAGCATTCTCCTCAAGAAACTGCTCGTGGCTTGGACTGGCGTACACTTCGTTGGGTTAGAAACTGTCTGGATAGCCTGGTCCAAAGAGTCGTGGTGAGTGGAGTCAAATCCAGTTGGAGGCTGGTCACTAGTGTCATTCCCCACTGAGTGGGTTGCACTGAGTAATCAGTGCAACCCACTTGCTCCATGTAGCATCAGTTGCATGAGGTGTAGAGGGGACCCTTCCTTTGAACATCCAACCTAGCAGTTGGGGCGTCAGGAGGAGCTGCACTTCAGTACCGACCACCTCCGAAGCAGATTGAACTCTTTCATATGCTGCCAATATCTCTTTTTCAGTTGGAGTGTAGCGAGCTTCAGGTCCTCTGTATTCCCGACTCCAAAACCCTAGGGGTTGAACTCGAGTTTCGCCAGGCTCTTTCTGCTAGAGGCTCCTTCGAGAGACCAGGCAAGGCAGTCAACTGTTTAATGTCTTCTGTCTATAAAGCCGCTATGCTAAAAGCCCACCAGTACCCTTTTTGGTCCTTGAAATATCCTCTCCTGAGACAGTCTATGCCAAGGATGCATGGAGCATCCAGGCCAGTCACAATATGGTGCTTTTGCTACAAACACCCAGCAACTTTCATGTCTTAATGCCGTGAGAACAAGCAGTCCCAGACAGCAAGGCTACCCTGAATCACCCTTCTTTGTTCCTTCTATACTCTTTACATTCCTCCTGGCCTCATTGTTAAAAGTCTGATGTTATCACCAACCATGGGGCTTGTTGACCCCTTTGGCCACACTCCCACAAGGACTCCCAAGTCCTTCTCTGAAGGGCAGCTCTTATGTTCTTCTTCTCCCAGTCTACATAAATACCTGGGATTGCCCCAGTCCAAGTGCAACACCTTGCACTTGGCCTTGTTGAACCTCGTTAAGTTCACATGGGCCCACTTCTCCAGCCTGTCCAGGTCCCTCTGGATGGCATCCCTTCCCTCTGTTCTGTCAACTGAACTGCTCATCTTGGTGTTATCTGCAGACTTGCTGAGGGTGCACTCAATTTCCTCGTCTGTCATTGATAAAGATGTTGAAGAGCAAAACGGTTACCTGTTGGGATCCCCTTGTCACCCCATAAATACAGATGGGTTCTGCCCCTTTATAGCTTGATGGCATTACAGTACACTGTGCACCTGTGTCTACTAAAGCCTTATACTTCTGTGTGTCTGAGGTGCCAGGCCATCTAATCCACTCAGTCCAATAAACCCGATTGTCCCTTTCCTCCACCTGGCTGGAGGCAGGGCTCCTCTAGTCCTCGTCATAGTATTCATTACTGTGTCTTGGGGACTGTCCACTGGAGACTGGAGCAGCAAGTTTTTCAGAACCCCCCCCCCCCCCCCCCCCCCCCCTTTTGTGACTGTTTTTCCTTGCAACTCATGTACCAGTGCCTCTAGGGTCAAGGTAGATATTCCATCCCATTATCTCATGTCCTTTCCATGGTCACGTAAGTAAAACCACAGGGTGGCATGTGGTGTGTACCCCATATCTTCTTCCTTAAACAGAAGGACACTTAATCCTGATAGCTGAGAGACTGGTTCGTAAAAGTGGGAAGGAAGATAAATTCTCTCTAAGTTGGTGGAGCTCTTCAGAAAGTTTCTCCAAAGCATTCTTTTTGAGTTGGTGGAACTACTGAGAAAGTTTTTCCACAGCCAAGACGCAGGCCTGTAGGAAAGAGGAGAGACTTCATACTGCCAGAGTTGTTTAGTCAATTCATCCACTGTGGGTTCCTCATGGTCTTTCCAGGTCATTGGCAGTAATGAGCTGGCATATGATGATGGTGCACTCCATACAAACATCCACCACATGGGTCATGTACACTTGACTTCATTTGGATCTGTGGATATCTGTTTGTTGTCTAGGTCCCTATAAACCATCTCCAGCACGGCTAATTCCCTCAGGTACTGGATTCCCTTCTCCATAGTGGTCCACTTGCCTGGTAGACATAAAAGTTCTTCCTCGAAGGAATACCTTTCCTTCACACCTGACAGGAGATGCCTCCAGAGGCTGAAGTGTGCTGAAGAGTGCTCCATTTCCAATTGCTTTGTCAATGTCTGCATCCCTAGAAAGGGATACCAGCCTCCTGGCTTCCCTGCCCTCTCATTCCAGACTATTTGCTCCACTGTTCCAGCACCAGACTAGCCAGGTGACAAGGTGCTCACCTAGATGATGACTGAAATCTTTTTGCATATTTCATAGCTCACACTGCTATAGACCTCAGGTAGTTATTGATGTTCTTATGATATCTTCCTCTTCATCTTCCCGTTCATCTGATGGTCCAGTGATTTCAGAGTAGCCTATCTCATCTTCTTCCTCCCCAGTCTGAGTAGGAGTTCCTCTGCTTTCTAAGCAACCTGACTCATCCATTGCTTCATCTTGGATACAGGGGCAACTGACACTGGTACAGTCTGTTTCCCTGGCCTAACCTTGGGGCCTGTTACACAAGTTGTAACAGCTGCAGGGCCCATCACAGGGGTTGGAATGACCACTTGGCCCATCACAAGGTTTGGGGTAGCTGCCAGGGTTGGAGCTGCTGCAGGGTCCGTCATAGGGCTTGGAGTGGCCAGTGGGTTTGGGGTAGCCACAGGACTTAGGGTGGATGCAGGATCTGTCACTGGGGTTATAGTGGCATCAATTGCAGCTCCGTAAGCATAGGACAAGCCCCAGCACGTTGCAGTGATTTGTGTACCTGTTGTGGTTTAACCTGGCCGGCAGCTAAGCACCACAGCCCACCCTCCCCCCTCCCTCTCTGGGATGGGGGAGAGAATCAGAAAAATATGAAAGCCTGTGGGTTGAGATAGAGACAGTTTATTAAGACAGAAAATAAAGGAAAATAATAAAAATAATGATAATAGTACTACTAATAATAATGTGTACAAAACAAGTGATGCACAGTGCAATTGCTCACCACCCGATGATGGATGCCCAGCCTATCCCCAAAAAGAGGTCCCCCCACCCCAACCAGCCCCCCCATATTAATTGTTCCACATGACATCAGATGATACGGAATACCCTTTAGGCCAGTTTGGGTCAGCTGTCCTGGTTCTGTCCCCTCCCAGCTCCTGCTGCGCCCCTAGCCTGCCCGCTTGCAGGACCAGAGCGAGAAGCTGAAAAATCCTTGTCTTAGTATAAGCACTGCTCTGCAACAACTAAAACATCAGTGTGTTATCAACATTATTCTAATCCTAACACAGCACCATACCAGCTATTAGGAGGAAAATTAACTCTATCCTAGCCAAAACCAGGACAATATGTACACCAGGTTGTATACAAATTGAGACAGAAGACACTTTTTCAAGCTGTGTTATGCTAAGGATGCAGCCTGTTTGTGTATTTAAATATATTGTTTCAGGCAGTAGGTCCAGCACACATTTTAGTAAAGACCTATGAGATCCCTGTGAAATTGCAGTTACAGGTATTGCTACAGTCAAACTGTGTTTGCATCAGGGCAATCAAAAGTTGTAGGATTTGTGGAAAAGAAGTCTGTTTACTCATTTCTGGATCCTCCCAAACATATAAGCAAGCCAGATTTCCCCATCATGCAGTTCTGCTTTGTGTTTGAGACTTTGCTATTACTCTACCAAGATATGGAAGGCTAAGCATACTTTTTCCACTGCTTTCCCACCTCCCTAGGTACATGGTCTCTACCGCACAACTGGTGCTAGTTTCGAGAAAGCACAGCAAGAGTTTGCAACAGGAATGATGTCCAATAAAACTGTACAAACTGCTGCAGCCAACGCCGCCTCAACAGCAGCAACCAATGCAGCTCAAAGTGCATTCAAGGGTAACCAAATGTAGAGAAATATAACAAGTGATTATCTTTCTCTTTTGTTGTACTTAATTTTCCAGGCAATTATATTCCCTAAAAACTTAGATCAAAATATATACAGCATATCTGTCTCTTCTTTAAAGATAGCCACTCTTTGCCCTGTTGCATTCTAGAATATAAAACTTTCCATATTTTATGGAGGATAAATAATTTAAACAGTTGGACTGAGAATGAATTATGGTATTTAATAATCAAGTAAATATAGTAGGAATTTGGATTTTTTTTAGTGGTTCACTACAGTATTGTTTTAAACTTCAGGAAAGCACTTTGGATCAATCATTTTTGTTTCTAAGAACTGATTTCCTTATTTCTACTCTAAGAAGTGGGGTAAACTGAAAGATGTAGCAAGTTAGGTTTGGCTAATGCTTTTGATATATACCAGTAAGTTTGCATGAATACTGTTGAGTTATCTGATCATGTTTAAATAGTGTCTTGGTCCAGAATTTCCCTGTGCCATTCTATAATTATAACATTTGTTTGCATCTCTTTTCATGAAGCATTCTCTACATGGGAGAAATGACCAGGGTGCATAATAAGTCTCTGTGATAGAATGTATAATGCAGTGTACAGTTTAAGGAAGTTGAAACTGATGGTTTCAATCACAGAGCTAAACGAGTATAGATTTGCTATTTTTAATTTCAGTATTCATGTCTCGGGGCCATAATTTTTCTGAAAAAAAAAACCAACACAATATTGACCTTGAGAACACTGGTTTATTGCCCCCCTACCCTCTCTTACATGAAGTGGTATTGTGTGATTTTTTTTTTTTTTTTTTAAGTGCAGATTTGTGTTTAACTATGGTACTAAATCTCTAGCTCTGTCAGTTACTCTCTTTACTGCTTGTCCAAAAATCTAAATATACAGTATTCAATTTTTAACAGGAATATTGCCTAAAATCAAGCTTTTTAAGCAATGACATTTAACAGATACTTGAATTAACAGATACATTTTAATGTGACTCAGCCAGCTCTGTGATTTAATTTAAGCTGGAAAAAAAGCTTTTAAAATATTTTGAATTGAAGAAGTAAGAAATCTTCATCTTTCACACAGTTAAATTTTAATTTATTGATCTGGAGTCCTAAGAGGTTAAATTGGTGCTGTGGAACTGAACAATCCATAATGGTACATACCATCATAATATTCTAGAATTTAATCTGGTTTTACTATATAAACTGATGTTTCTCTCCTTTCAAGGATATTTGATATTCTTGGATTGACTTGTGAGTCTTATTCATAATACTTGGGCTGTTTTTTTAAACTCTATTTTAGAAAATGAAAACAGGAAGGACCACATTCCACAACCTGTAGAAATATACACTGTAGCTGAAATGAATTTGTAGTGTCATGCGTTGAATATACAGATTTAAACCTTATAAGTGATATTCAAGATTTTTGTTTAAACCAGAAATCTCTGACAATTTGCAGCCCAAAAATGAATGAGAAATTTAGTTTTGACAACAAAAGGCTGATGTCTGTTAAAATATTTTATACCTGACTAAAACTAGGTTTTACAGTCTCTTATTAATTAGCCAGAGTATGGCACCCACTTAAGTTGTCATTTTGTAGTATTGTGACAAATTGAGTACAAAATATGAAGTTTAAACACTGGAATGTTGTTGATCTGTAATTTAGGAGTTGGTTTTATTTATCTGAGGGATGTTTGCATTTTTTATAAATTACTTAAACAATGTAAACAATGTAAACAATGTAAACAATTATGTAAACAATGCTCTACAATCATGGTGAATGTCATGGTTCTGTACAAATTCACTTCTGTCCCTCCGTTGCATGTCTGAGTAGTTCAAAAGTTATGTATATTTCTTGTATTAACACAGTATCATAGAATAAAAATATATATATTTTTTCCTGGATGCTTGCTCTATATAGTTTTAAACAATATAAGGATTTTTCTTTTAAAGGTCAGGATAACATGCAGGGTGGCTGATCTATGGAAAAGTCTCACTTGTTTTTTATAATTCTGTATAAAAATGTTGCAGTTCTGCTGAAATGGGAAAGTAAAATGTCCACTATCAAAATAATGCATGAGGGTCATAAGAATTACTCAAATATAAAGAAGAAAATTCTTAAACACTTGCAGCCCACTTACTTGTGCTATAAAGTTAGAGGGCTAAAATCTAAATAAGTTCTGTCATTACTGAATGAAATTCTTCAGGTATTAAGTGAATCTTAAAATATTATTGAAAGTAAAATGAAGTTATTGAAAACAGCATTGGTTTGGTACTGTTTATTTTCCAAATTTCTGCCTATTGACATGACACTGCTGTGTCAGTTGTGTCACTTTGTATCCTGTTGTATCACTGCTGTGTCTTGCTTTTTCTTTCACTATCAATCTGTTGATTTTTTTTGTCATGTAATATCAACTGTAATGCCTGATCTCTAGTGCTGAATTTATTACCAGGTTTTCTTTGAACAGAAAAATTAGTTCAGCTAGACCACTGTGGTGTAATTAACGTTTGCAAATGCACAATACAGAGAATACTGTTCTGAGATATAGTTGGGATTAGTTTGGGAGATAGCAGATGTGTGTTTTTGAAGACACTGGCACATACATACATGCATCATTTAGTAGTGAAATTCTTCATCAACTTGATCTGCTTCTTTGTTATTTGCATATCTAGTGTGGTAGTGGCAACAGACTAAAGGAGCAGTTTTTAAACTTTATCGTACTGCACAACTGTGCTTACCATTTACAAGAATAATCATGTTTTATGATTAGAATTACTACATAATTTAAGTGCTGTTGTGGGGAGATGATAATTCCTCTGGTTTGCTCAGGCTAGTTTACCTCAGGAATTTGAAAGCACTAAGTTGGGAAAACAAGCACACACAGAAAACAGCAGCTCAGAATGTCATCTATTTGAAGATACTGTATATTCAAAGAAAACGCATATATCTGAAAACAAGCTTTCAATGAATCACAGGAGCAAGACTACTTTATATTCCTGTCCCTCTGACATTAATAATATGTATTCACTTTCTCATTGCATCACCATTCTAAACCTAGCTAGAGCTGGGGGAAGAAGTTACACAGAAATCTATAGTAATTCACACATTTTAAGAATGAAAATCTACATTTACTATTTCCATTCACCTCTTTGAAAAAAGGAGACAATGCTTTTAGCTATACAAATTAATACTTGGAAAATTTTCAGTAGTATTTTGTATTCGTAGAATAACTGCTATATATATAGCATATATATAGCAGTTATTCTGCTATATATAAGGAGAGTTGCACTCTCCTTACTGGTAAGCAATGGTGTCTCATCTGTTTGTGGTGCTTGGTCAGTGGCAAAAAGAAAAGGGGGAGAGTAAGGGACGCCAAAGACAGAAACAGTATCAGGAGGATGCCACTGACATTAACAGCACGCGTAGAATGGCATAAATGAAGCAGGTGATAGCAAGGGTGTAATGATAGGGAAGCATTTTCGAGTTCTGGAATGGATTTTCCTACCGATTCAGCCAAAAAAGAGTGTTCAAACATGGGCAAAAGCTGTCGCAGAGTTAGTACGTAAGGGTCGCTCTCGGAGTATTGAGATCAGCGGGCAGGAACCAGGAGATATTAGTCTGCCGATGACTCCGGATCATTTGGAATGGTGTTTACAGCAATCCATTCCACTACAGGAAGCTGTGTTAGGTTACCCGGGATAACTACATTCCAGAACTGCAAAGGGGCCTCTCTGGCAAGTTATAAGATCATATAAATGGCAGGTAGTACCACAGCTTTTAGCCCAACCAGTGGTGGGTCGCACTGTATACACTGATGCAGGTGCAGCAAGTAGGAAGGCTGTGTGTGTGGTACGAGAATGGAAGTTGGAAGAAATACATAATTCCGGAGGAGATAGGGGATTCATTGCAAACATTGGAACTGTCTGCAGTTGTTTGGGCTTGTCAATGCTGGATGCATGAGCCGATTAATATCGTCTGTATGTTGTATGTTAATATCTCTCTGTATGTTGTCAACGTGGTAAACCGGATAGAGGATGCCTTGATACGGCAAACTAAGAGGAACAGATTGTTGTCATTATTTCTGCAGCTGCAAGATGCCATTCAGGGGAGAACTGCACCTTACTGTGTTATCCATATATGTAGTCGTCAGTTCTCGATTGGGTTAGCAGAAGGTAATTGACAAGCAGACAAGTTGGTGAGTATAGTCACAGAGGGGCCTGAGAGTGATTTTCCACATGCGCGAGTGTCGCACGAAATGTTCCATCAGAATGCAAAGGGTCTTCGGAGAATGCTTGGATTTACTTGGACAGAGGTGAAAGGAATAGTAAGAGCGTGCCCTTCCTGTAGTCATCATGGACCAGGGTTAGGTTTGGTTATTAATCCACGAGGTGTTAAGGCACTTGAGGTATGGCAAATGGATGTAACTCATGTACTGGAATTTGGTACTAAAAGATATGTGCGTGTGGGTATTGATACTTTTTCAAGATTCATAGGGCGCAGGGGGGAAAAAAAGCACACCTTGTGTGTAGACATCTGACGGTGTGTTTTGCCATTATGGGAGTGCCACAGCAGATCAAGACGGACAATGGTCCAGAATATGTTAGCACAAAGGTTAGAAAATTTATGAAAATGTGGGGAGTAAAGCATATCACCGGTGTTCCATATTCTCCCACGGGCCAAGTGATGGTCGAACGATCACATCAGGTTTCAAAGGAAAAATTAGCAAGATTAAAAGAAATCAAGGACATCGATGAGTGAGTGTCCAAGGCATTGGTTGTCTTGAATCACTTATGTTTGACTGGTGACCGAGAAGACCCTCCTGCAAGTATTCATTTTCAAACAATAAATAGACCAGCACCAAATGTGTTACCACAAATAAGAATGAATTACCGAGATCCTGCTACAGGAACTTGGAAAGGGCCATATGGATATAGAAATACAAATAACACCTGTGGTTACAATGACACTGCTAGGCAGGGTTTAGGGGCTTATGGCGCGGAGACAAGGGGTAACAACTATAGCGTTTAGAACAATCATACAGCTATGGCTTTACCTCCTGATGTTTTTATGATTTGCGGGGATAGGGCCTGGCAAGGTATCGCTGCAAATGCTATCGGAGGTCCATGTTACTTAGGTAAACTTACTATGTTTGCTCCTAGCTTGTCACAGTTGTGTGAGATCATCAGACATAAATGGGCATTGCTCACACCGGATTGCAAAGATAGTGTTGAATTACTTGGTGTTGCAGCTAGAGCGGCATTGGCAATTTTCGTGCCAGGAGTGGCATCTGTGGCCACACTTAATAATTTAGAAAAATTGGCATGCAGGGCTGAGAAGCAAGCCAATGCAACGACAGAAATACTTGAGGAGATGTTACCAGATCAAAATAGTCTGCAACATGCGCTCTTACAGGACCAAGCTGCTATTGACTTCTTGCTTTTGGCTCAAAGGCATGGGTGTGAGGACTTTGAGGGAATGTGCTGTTTGAACCTTTCTGATCATAGTGAGTCAATTCACAAATCCATTACTTTCCTGAAAGAGCACATGGGAAAGATTCAGTATGGTATCAATCCTTTCTATCAATGGCTCACTGATTTGTTTGGGACGATGCATAGATGGTTACTGGGATTAATCAAAGAGGGATTAAGGATTCTGTTTCTTGTGGTGTTAATCATCATTGCGTGTTGTATTGTAATAAATGTGGTTAAAGGGTTACTTGCAAAACTGTTACATTGGGCTTGGTTTGCTCAAAAACAAAAAGGGAGAATTCTTGGGGGATTTTTGAAACAGCAAGGAGGCCATGACTTGCTTCAGCTGGGCAAACCAAGCTACCAGGACGACTACGAGAAGTTCCCTTGACACTGTTCCCATATCGCCCGGTTGAGGAATTAAAAAATATTGTTGCCGGCAGCTGGCTTCAAGGACAAAATCTACGTGACTGCTAATCACAAGGGGGTTGATTTCTTGCAGGTGGGGTTGTTTTCCTGCAGTTATTTGTCTGAGTGCTTTTGACCAATAATTTTGTGTGAGACACTATCCACCCCTGTTAAATTTAAAGTCAGGCTATTCGGGTAATAAAGGGAGAGCATGATCTGACCATGCTGATGTCTGTCATGTTTTCGGCCGTCCTTCATGCAGCAATGCAACTGTATTGTATAATGCATAGCAAGAATTTCATATCACATACTTTTTGATCAGTAAGTAGTAGTAATTGGTAAAGTCAGTTGGTATCTAAAACTAACAAAATCACAGGACTGGGCTCTTAAATGCTATTAAAGCCAACTTGCTCTGGCTCAATATACTTAATATGATTGAATTAACATAGTCACACTGTGAGAAACAAAGTTGGGTTGGGAAAAACTCAAGAGTGCAGTATGTAAATTGGTGTAAAAAGAACAATAGGAGTGTTGTGGTTCCGCTCGAGTGGGCAGCTGAGCTCCACCACAGCCGCTCTCTCACTCCCCCTCCTCAAAGAGGAATGGGGAGAAAATATGCTGAAAAGGGCTCAAAGGTTGAGATAAGGACGAGAAGATCACGCAGTAATTACTGTAACGGGCAAAACAGAATCTGCATAGGGAGATAGTAAGATTTATTGCTTATTACTAACAAGCTAGAGAAGTGAGAAACAAAGGAAAGAAACCAAAAGCACCTTCCCCCCCCCATCCACCCTCTTCCACCTCCTCCCCCCGAGCAGCGCAGGGGAACGGGGGAATGGGGGTTATGGTCAGTCTACAGCATTTCTTCTCTGCCGCTCCTTCTCGGTCACTCTCGTCCCCTGTGCTGTGGGGTCCCACCCATGGGATACAGCCCTTGATGAACTGATCCGGCGTGGGCTTCCCACAGGCAGCAGCTCTTCCAGAACTGCTCCAGATATGGGTCCGTACCACGGGGTCCATCCCTCAGGAGCAAACTGCTCCAACCTGGCTCCCCCACGGGCAGCAGCTCCTGCCAGGTCACCTGCTCCTGCGTGGTCTCCTCTCCATGGGCTACAGGTTTGGCCCAGAATCTTCTCTGGCAGGGGTCTTCCACAGGCCACAGTCTCCGTTGGTGCAGGTCCACCTGCTCCACTGTGGTCTCCTCCACGAGCTTCAGTGTGGATCCCTGCTCCACCATGATACACCATGGGCTGCCGGGGGACAGCCTGCTTCACCATGGTCCTTACCACAGGCCGCAGGGGACTTCTGCTCTGGCGCCTGGAGCACCTGTCCCCCTCCTTCTTCACTGACCTTGGCGCCTTCAAGGCTGTTCCTCACTCCTCTC